CCGGCTCGGCTCCCGACATGTCGGGAGCCGGGCTCGGGAAACGTTCCCTTCGACCCGTACTGTATATAATTTCTTGGCCCAGGTCGGCTCCTATGTTCCTAATCGGCCCGGCACTTTCCAGGAGTTCGGTCCTATGTTACTCATGGGGCCGACCCGTTTGGTTCTGACCCAACCGATCCGGATGTCAACATCAGTAACAAACACCAAAAAAGGTTCAAACTTGTCAATTTCTTAAAAATAACACCAAAAATTGTGTTCTTCTCTCGTTTGAGAGTGTCTTCTCCGTGGAGAGTGATCTTCTTCGTGGATCGAAGGTCAGTCTTATAGTGAGGCTTGGGTGCGCTTTGGCGTCATAGTTTTATTGCGAAGAATGGCTGAAGAAATAGGGCAAAGATTAGGGCGAGTATCGATTGTCGTTGCAGAGAAGCTAATTATAGATATCGAAGAAAGGGATGTCAGATTCAGTGCGGAGGAATGTAGCTTGAGTTTATTCGGGAAAGTGATCGGAGAAAAGAAAGCCAATTGGATGGGAATCAAGAGAACAATGGGGCTGTTATGGAGAATGGGCAACAACCTGAAAGTAAGGGAGCTTAATTCTAACTACTTTCAATTCTTGTTCCCGAATCGTGAAGCTATGTTAAGAGTTGATATGGAGAGAAGCTGGGTGTTCGAGAACCAATACTTTTTGTTACAGAAATGGCAAGAGGGTTTATCTGAGGAACACCCCAATTTTGGGGAGATTATGCTTTGGGTCCAGGTCCACGGGGTGCCAATCAATTGGTTGAGCATTGATGTGGGTACGAAATTGGGCCGAGCTTTTCGAGATATAAAGAATGTGAATTTGGCTAGGGCAGGGATGCAAGGAGGGAGAATACTCAGGTTACAAGTAAAGCTAGATCTGAAGGAACCTCTGCCTAGGTGGTCGTCAATTCGTCTGGGAGAACAAGTAGTCACAGTGCAATTCAAATATGAGAAAATTGTGAGCCTCTGCTATAATTGTGGGAGATTGGGACATGTAGATAAGAATTGCTTCCAAATGAAAGAGGACATTGCTAGAAAGGAACCAAAGGTGGGGCAGTATGGGGAGTGGATGCGAGCAGCTGATGGCTTTATAATCTCAGAGTCACCTCCAACAAGTAATAACAGTGATCCATCAGCTAATCATCCTGTAAAGCCTCGCGTACCCTCAGACCATAGGGATCAAGATCTAAGTCATACGGTGATGGAA